TAAATAATGGACTATTCCGTTTTGATCACTTAGAAAAACAAAAGACATACGCTATTGTCTTACAGTGACAAAATGACTGAATGAATGAAAGAAGGGGAGATAAAAAAAATCTTTAACGGCTGTTTCAGTGAAATAGAATAAGTTGTAACTTTTAAATAATCTCATTTCTACCCACTTCTTAAAATAACAACCAGCATTTATATTGTTATTGCAATATTTTGTTAAAGTTGTTAAGCTCAAACATTTAACGATGTGAGAGGGAAATGTCTATATAAAACTTATTGTCATAGAACTCGCTACGAGCGTATTCAATTAAGTGAGATTCACCAGAAAATGAAAATAGGAAAACCGTAAAATTTTCTCGCATCTTTCTTGTAATTATCAATACAACTCCTACAAGGCTTACAATCATATCGGGTTGAAACACCGTTTCTCGTACGATCACCGATGATAAGCAGCGTCGAGCCTGTAATGTGGGGACTGAATTCTTAAAATCTATACATGTTATCTGACTTTAAATAACCAGGACAAAATCCTTAGAAAACAAGTCAATAAATCAACTAATACTACTGCAACTAATAATATTAAGCATTTGTTCTTCTACACATCGTTTTCTTTCAATAAGGTGGGTGATCATGGGTTTCCACAACGTCCTATTCATTCTTACCCTCTGTAAAATGTCTCCCTTTGCAAAGACAGCCGCCTTACACCTGTTCTGTCATCCAATCACTCAACTCGTCAGGTAGGGGTCCCGCTCTCTTCATCTGCCCCAGTTGCCCTAATTATGCAATGTGAATGTCAAATTCTCCAAGCCTTCCTTCTTTATTATAAAATGAAAGATCAACTATCTCTTTTTAATTCAGAATATAAGTGTCTGAAGACTTAGTTTAAGAAATGCGTAGAGCAGTAAATTATTAGAGTTTAACGTCTATCAAGTTACCAGTCTTTTTCAAGTAATGAGTCCAATAATGGAAATTAGAGACTTAATTAAGAATAGATGAATAAATTATACGTCTCCTACAATTTGAAGTTTTGCAGTTACATATCATATCATAAGGATAATAGTTTAGTTGGTTTGGTTTGGATTGTTTTACGGCATATCCACATCTCAATCGGTTATTTAATGCCGACAAATTTGATATTGCTGGTAATATTTGGCTTTGTGAAAAATCTCTTTCTGGTAATATTTATCTCTCAAGAATATGTTTCTGTTTATAATTAAAAAAAAAACTATTGTTGGTGATATTTTTTTCCTCAAAAATGTATTGCTGGTAATATTTTTTTTCGAAAATGTATTGCTGGTAATATTTTTTCCAAAAATGTATAGCTGGTAATATTTTTCCAAAAATGTATTGCTGGTAATATTTTTTTTCTAAAATGTATTGCTGGTAATATTTTTTTCAAAAATGTATTGCTGGTAATATTTTTTTTCCAAAAATGTATTGCTGGTAATATTTTTTTTCAAAAATGTATTGCTGGTAATATTTTATCCAAAAATGTATAGCTGGTAATATTTTATCCAAAAATGTATTGCTGGTAATATTTTTCCAAAAATGCGTTGCTGGTAATATTTTTTTCCAAAAATGTATTGCCGGTCATATTTTTTTTCAAAAATGTATTGCTGGTAATATTTTTTTCCAAAAATGTATAGCTGGTAATATTTTTTTCGAAAATGTATAGTTGGTAATATTTTTTCCAAAAATGTATTGCTGGTAATATTTTTTCCAAAAATGCGTTGCTGGTAATATTTTTTTCCAAAAATGTATAGCTGGTAATATTTTTTCCAAAAATGTATAGCTGGTAATATTTTTCCAAAAGTGTATTGCTGGTAATATTTTTTTCAAAAATGTATTGCTGGTAATATTTTTCATTTCAAAAATATATTTTTGGTAATATTTTTTTCTTGAAAAATTTACTGCTGATAATATTTTATTTTTCTTCTTCACAAATTTATTGCTGGAAATACTTTTTTACAAAGTATTTCTGGTATTAAAACTTATTTTCACACTTTCATGGTGTTTTTTTTTACCCCAGTTCCAGGGTTAACTATTTGCCCATAGCTGGTACCCAAACAGGTGCTACCACACCAGGTCAGGGCGGACTTGGGAACACCAGCAATTAAGAGGTTGTTCCACGCTCCTCAAAATCTCCTGATCAGAGGCGTGGCTGTTGGACGTTGTTTATCGTCTTACCCAGGATGCGGATGTAGTTCATGGTTATAACCAGGATGGATCAGGATAATAAAAATCTATTTGACTTATTATCAGATATATTTATTTTGAATACTTTACGCATGTTCTAAATGTAACCGTAAGTTCTATGCTATAATAGTCTCTTCTCTTGCTCTTATCACTTGTAGAAATCTCTTCAGTTTTCTTGCCAGTGTCAACGTTAAACTTCAATCTTAATGGTTAACTCCTGTCTCCTTAATTCCTGTACTTTGATTGTTCTCTCTCATTAACTGTTTTTCATTTTCTCATATTCTTTCATTCAGTAAAACCTTGCGTCGTAGTGGCTTTATTGTCTTGCTTGGTTTATAATGATTAAAAATAGATAAATTAATTATGGAGGTCAACTATTTGTGAGTGGGGTGTTTGGTTATAGAGATGGCGGGGAAGAGATAAACAGTTTGGCTATAGAATACTTTACATCATGGGACTTGCCGTTAAGAAAGAGATACGAATTTGAAAATTGTTTCCCTCTTGAGGAATCGCCGACCCATAATGGGCAATATAAAGTATTGTTATCAGCCACTACTTATGTTATAAAAACTAACCTCAGACCAACGACGCAAGATCACTCCCTTTTCTATATACATTCCTAAAGTCTCTATGCAAATATTATTTTATATACTGAAGTTCATAAAATGTAAGCCTCAGTGCCTCTTAAGCTAGATGGTTACCGTTGAAATTCTCATCTTAAGAAAATTTGGTTGGCAGTGTCTATGATGAGAATCAGGATGAATGAAAATTGATCTAAAGAGATAAAAAATTGGAATGTTCAGAAAAGTCCGTTTAACAAAGGTATAGTTCTTAAGAATACCCAAGTGGTACTCTTTATCTAAATTTGGAACACGAATGTAATTTGGATGATTCAACTCTGTGGAAGTATTTTGGTTGGTCCTGTTTGTAAATGTATGAAATGGTCGATTTAAAGAATGGAGATCATCTGGAAATTAGCCATGGAAATAGCGATGAAATAGAAATAGTGAGAAAGACTTGGGAGAAATAATTAGCGGAATGGTAAATAAAGACTATCCAACATCAACATGATTTTGAACCGTATCCAGTTTGAAAAGTGATGTTCAGCCCTGTTATAACAGGAAATACTCCATTTCGGCCTAACCTAGCTTGTGCAAATATAAATCAATATATATATATATATATATATATATATATATATATATATATATATATATATATATATAAATATCTTAAAAATAATAGTCGGACTTTGTCTTTTCATAATATATATATATATATATATATATATATATATATATATATATATATATTATGAAAAGACAAAGTCCGACTATTATTTTAAGATATTTTTATGTTTATACTTTCATTTTATAGTTACACATATTTAAGCAAATGCTCTGTTTAAAATAACATTAACCGGCCTGAATGTCCTAGAAATTTTCACGGAGAATATTTGTCCCCCGACAGGAATCGAACGTGTATTCTATACGGAACCGTCATATAGCCTGGCGTGCATTAACCGATTAGGCGACAGAGGGTCGTTCGGTTAGCAAGGTCGATTTTACTGCTTTTAAACTACAATCTTCCATGAATCTCTCACGTACATTCATATCTGCTCAATGCGTATTCAAATGTAAACAAATGACGTCACACATTAGGAAATGGACATAATAATGTATTAAAATAATTGTCAGACTTTGTCCATTTCGTAATGTGTGACGTCATTTATTTAGATTTGTTTATATATATATATATATATATATATATATACAAACACACACATTCATACATATATATTTTTAAGACAAATTTATGTTTATACATTATTTTTATAGATACAAATATGTATATATATATATATTTATGTATATATATATACATATATATATCTATTTGTTTATATATATATATACATACATATATATATATATGTATATATATATATATATATATATATATATATATATATATATATATATACATACATATATATATATATATATATATATATATATATATATATATATATATATATATTTTGATAGAATAAATTCTGGTCAATTGCAAGTACAGATCTACTCTGGAATCAATTACACAAGTAATATTAAAACAATGATGATCAATCCCAGAATGGATCACAACTAACAACCTGAAGAAAAATATGAGGAAGACATGCAAATCGATGTTATAATATCGTCTTGATTATTATGATGCATTCAAGCAATACAATTATAATGTCTATTATTTTTCTCTTAGGGTGAAATTATTTATTTTATTTTAATTTTTAGAAACTTAATAAAATTACTAAAAAGATATTCTAGGCTGAGTATAAAAACCATCGAAACAAAATATTTTGCATATTTGCAAGCAAGATCTGAAAGAATACCTATACTTATCAAACGGAAACCATAAAAATGAAATCCTTTACTTTATAAGTTGAATATTTATATTAATGGATGAAAATTTGGATTTTTCAAGATGAAACACAATCTTACATTTTTCTTCTTCCTTTGTCCCCCCCCACACACATACACGCACACAAACACACACACACACATATATATATATATATATATATAGTCCCAGTAAACGTTCAAAGATTCATTGAGACTGCAAACGTTCCTCGCGATATGGCGATATTCAGGGTCTGATCGGTAATGAAGCACAAGTCCAAGTTTGGTTTTTGAGGTATTATTACTTTTTTATGTATTTTCGAAGCTTCAGAGCGAATTACTCCACAGCGAATTTTACACAAGAGATTGGACTAAGATTTCGTATCGAAATGATTCTTCGGAAATGTGGCAATCATTCATTTTCTTTATTTTCTTTCTGCTTGTTCACATTCAAATATCTGATGTTATTTTTTTCCTTTCGTCCTCTCTTCCTACGCTTATCGACACCATTAAAACTTTCCTCTTGATTTGTCAATTATTCTTACCGATTTCATTATCTACACTGATCGTTCGCCATTAAGTTTTATTGGAAACAAATTCAGATCTTTTTGTAAATGCTTCCCTGGTTAACATTATTTGATTCGATAGAATCGTTAATCAGACGCCGATTTCAACGATTTCCGCATTAGCGTAATACTCCGAACCAAACGCCACAACTTATTTTCCTCTGAGCAGCAGTCAGCGTAACGTTTTCGGGCGAAAAGGAAGAAAATTTATTGCCTTCCGCTTAATCATCAACATGTTGGATTATTCCTTTAAAATGTCTTGCTAAGCAGGGAATTCCACGATGCTAGTGATTGGAGAAAATGCGAAGTAATATTTATTTTAAAGGATTGCGGTTCCACATTTACGTAATTGAAGACATATTTCTTCTTTTTTTTAAATGGAATAAAATAAACTTCTGTAATGAATGGACAGATGCTATTTCCATACTTTTGAAAACTGAACCGAAATAGTATCGTTTATTCATTTGTTTTACTTTATTTTATTTATTTTATTTTATTGTTTTTTTTTTGTTTAGCGACATATCGACACCTTTATGTAATGCCGAAATCTTAATATTTTGTACGCAATTTTATTTATTTGTAATTGTTTTTTAATGGTATTTAATGATAAAAGTTTTTATCAAATCATAGCTTCGGGGAAGACAAGAGATGGATTTGTGGCGGACTTCACCACATTAATTTAACTTTGATAAGAAAACAGGACTCACGCAAGAAGAATAACAC